CTAATTTTTGTATTTTTGGTAGAGACAGGATTTCTACTAACTGTGTTAGCCAGGATGGTCTCAAGCTCCTGACCTCATGATCCACCCTCCTCGGCCTCCCAAAGTGCTGGGATTACAGTGACTGTGACCGGCCATATTTAAAATTTTCTATAATTATGGGTTTGAAATGAGAGACATGATTATTGCAGCCTAATACAGTGCAATATTTTCATCTTTAAGTGATAACTGAGGCTGACTGTTGCCAAGACATACTTGAGCAAATGTTGTAAAAGCCACAAGATAGTCCTTACAAATATTGTCATGAATAAATGATTACACCCCATTTCTCATTTTGAAAACTCATGAGCAGGCCCATTTCCTTGGCAGTCACCACGGCAGACTATAATGTCCAAAGCTGGCCACAATGCTGTCTGCATCCAGTGCTGCCTGCATCCAGTGCTGCCTGCATCCTGTGCTGCTCTCCTGGTGTGGCTTTGTCACTTCCCCAGCTGAGAGAGGGGGCTGTGAACCCCCTAACACCTGGGAGGGCTTGCGACTCTGGCAGATGTCTTACCATAGGAGGCTGGCATAGGAGGCAATACAAATATCAGCACTTTGGGAGGCCAAGGTGGGCGGATTACTTGAGCCCAGGAGTTTGAGACCAGCCTGGGCAACATGGCGAAACCCCATCTCTACAAAAAGCACAAAAAAATTAGCCGGGCATGGTAGCATGTGCCTGTAGCCCCAGGTACCTGGGAGGCTTAGGTGGGAGGATCACCTCATCACCTTGAGCCTGGGTCAAGCCTGCAGTGAGCCATGATCTTGCCTCTGAATTCCAGCCTAGGCAACAGAGTGAGACTCTGTCTCAAAAAAAACAAAAACAAAAACAAAAACAAAAAACCAACAACCAAAAACAAAACAAAACAGGCAATACAGCTGCTACCTGCCTTTCTCCATATGCTTACTCGTGCAACCCAGCATCCTGCTGTGAGGAAGCCCCAGCAACCCATGCACCCCTACATGGAGACCCACGTGTAGGTGTTCCAGCTGATCACCACCAGTCAGCTCCCCACTGTCAGCCACCATCAGCTTCCAGACTTGGGAGTGAGCAAGCGTTCCAGTGATTACAGCCCTACCCGTCAAGTCATCCCCCGCTTTTGAATGTTCTCAGCTGACGTTCCAAACACTGGGGAGCAGAGACAAGCCTTTTCTGCTATTGCCTTTCAGAATTCATCTTCACAGAACCTGTGAACATTATAAAATGCTTGTTGGTTTATGCCACTGCATATGGGGTGATTTGTTACATGGCAGCAGTAACTGCAACAGTTGGCTTATGTAAGCGGAGGAGAGAACGGTCTTATTTCTCAGTGATCCTTTCTTTCTACACCATGCCCCAAAGTTACACATATTTATACATATACTCAATGATTGTTTTGATGGGATTCACAATGTTTACTATTTCTGTCTACCTTATGACATCCAGATCAGGAGCTATATCGTAAACTATCAGCTGTTCTCGGAATAAAGGAGTCGTGGCTGGGCAGTCAGGTGCCTGGCACATGACACATTATAGTAATTACTCTTCTGCACTTTTGTCATTGATATCATGCGACACCCATCAGTGTCATAATAATGGAATTTTGCCAATAATTTATTCTGTTTTTTTTTTTTTTTTTTTTTTTTTTTTTTTTT